TTGTTCAGTTTTTTGCAAATAAAGACAGGTCCTTCTATGAATGAGGAATTATGAAGCTCACTGAAAGATGGCAAAAGGTTATTGAACAAAATGGGCAATGTATAATTGATTGATCTTAGTTTTTTATATAAATAAATGACCTTTGAAAACAGACAAACTACATCATGACTTTTCCGACAACCCAATAGTAACCAGAGCAGACATAGTGTCTGCCCTCACTATGTGTTGGAACATTATGTCCAACACACAAGGCACACATTGTCTAGGTAATTGTGAGCCTGATTAGTGTTACAGAGTGCAAACTGCTAGGCTTGTGTTATTGATTTTGTCATGGAAAATAAAAATGTATGTTCTTCTTGGTAGAAGGGCTATTATGAAACATTAGCTTCTTTTTACTCCCATTTTGTAAGTTCATACTTTCTGTCTGCTTAAACAGGAGCAGTTGGACATCATGGAGACAACTTGGTAGAGAAGATCATTTCAGCTCTTCCCCCACTTCCTGGCCACACCAATGATGTGATGGTTAACATGGTAGAGCTCACTGCACTGCAGAATGAGGTGGACAATCAGAACATGGTCGCACCAGGCTGTCTCGCACAATCCAAGTAGGATATGTAGATTTTTTTTCTCTCCCATCCTTCTCCTTTTCTCTCTTCCATTTTCTTTCTTTCCTAGCATGTTCTGTAGAAAGGAAAACAATGAAGAGTTGGTCTAGTTGAAAAATTCATAGCATTTTTTTCTTAACTTTGAAATAACCATATCCATTAAACAACAATAAGCCAACAAGTATGGTATTTTATAGAAATATCATTTAGATATAATATAAGCTTGTTCTCAGGATCAATTAAGTGAGTCAATTTATGCGTCTCCGTTTCACATACAGCTTTCACATGGAATTGAGTCTAGGCTTACTCCATTTCCATTTCCCAGTTGACTTTTCCATGTGACTAAAAAACTGCCCCATAGCTATGAAACAGTGCCATCTTTTTATAAGCAAATGATATGCTCTTGGACGTCACAGATAAAAGTTTTATTTCTATATATATATTTTTCTCATGCTTAGATAAATCAGAGAAAGATGGTGTACTTTATGTTATGTAGAACATTTCTCCAGAAACATGACAATAAAAAGGTTCATTAGTTACCTTTTCTATTTTGTCCTTCATCAACAATTCTTATGAGAAAAAATGTGTTAGAAGGGGAAAAAGTGTCTGAGTATCTGTTTCCCTTATCTATATTTTTAATTTTTAAACAAAACCGGACCTTTCGGCATTATAGTTTCAAATCTTAACAGTAGCAGATACATTTGGAGTTTCCTGTCATATTTGGAATTAACTTTCCTGAAGTTTTCAACTTTTTTGTAGATAATTAATAACATTTACTGGTTGCCCAGTGTGTATGGGCGAGTAGGGGAAGAAAACAGAAAATTATGTAGCCTGTCTTTTTTGTAAGCTTATCCACAGTGAAAACATGGGCCATGTGCATACTTCAGCAGCACATATGCTGAAACATAGGCCTAAGGGCTTGCAGTTATACCAACCCAGAGTAATTGTGATTGGAAACACTTTTAGCCGTCCAGAGAGCCATTCAAGGACTTATTATTAAGGACTTATTGTGACCCCTACTTTTGACTAAGTAATATGAAGGACATAAAAGAATATAAAATATCATTCTTATCTTCAGGGAACTTCTTCTTGTTGGGCAAGTCATGATTTACACACAAGTACAATTAAAAAAACAATGGCAAGTCTATGAAATCAAGACTCACTTATCGGCTACAGATTATATAGTTCCTACAAGCAAAGTATCAGGTTAATGGGGTCTTTGTAGATCAATTTGGGCCTTGTGGAAGTGGTGGTGCTTGGATAATTATGTCTTGAAGGGTTTAGAAAAGGAGAGAGGGCTAGCATGAGCATAAGCATGAAATAAAGAATGGTCAGGGCCTGATGTGATGGGTTGTGAGAAAGAAAGACAACCTCACTGGACCACCACTGCCATCGGCAATATTAACATTTTTCAGGACTTACTATGTGCCAAGCACGCTTTCAGGCATTTTACATTTGGGAAGTCATTTAAGTTTTACAGTAACCCAGTGAGGTAGGTGTTGTTATTCCCCCATTTTACAGGTAAGGAAATGAGGCAAGGAGACAGTAAGTAACATCACTAACAGGAAATGGAGCTAGAATTTGTGCCTAGAATATTTGACTTCAGAGCCACTGTCTTAACTTCTATGCAGGGATCAGAGAAGAACGAGGCTCGCAAATAGATTTAAAGAGACAATGAGAGACAAAAGTAAAGTTACATCATGATTTAATTTGGGGAGGCCTGTTTGTTTAAAGTGATGGTTACACAAAACAACAGAAATAAATTTTGGCTAATTTCAGCAAAAATGGAATTTATTAAAGGAGACTGGAGAGCTAACAGAATCAAAGGAAGAACTGTTAATCAGATTTTGGAAAGAGCAACACAGTTCTGGGGATTTAAGGGACAAGAACTCAGGAAAAGCCTGTTCAAGACCTTGACACCAATGAGACTGAATTTCAAGTTTTCTGTCTTGAGTCATTCTGCTTAAAATTCATATTCTAGGGGAAGAGGTACAATTGGTCTAACTTGGGTCTATGCCCACCCTTTGCCCAGTGGGGGTTGGAAGCAGTTTATACTGAGAATTGTGCCAAATTGTGGCATGGAGGAGGGGTAGGTTTGTTTTTTTCTTTTTACAATTGCTTGGAGGACTGAAGGAATTGCACTGATTAATTTCTCTGCAAAAGTGGACTTGAAATAAATTCAGGTTTCCTAGCATATAATGTACTTCTATCAAAATAACAACCACTACTACTACCTCCAGCACAACCCCCAGAAACTTCTCAGTGAAATGAGTGTGAGGATAAAAATGTTAGTACTAAAATGCAAAACAGATGGGTGCTTGGCAATAAATAATGTGCCTGCAATGGAATAATCTTTAAAAAACAAGTCTGCAACTATGATACAAGCCTTGATAATCAAAATTTATTGCCAATAGCTTTTCACAATGGGTTTGCTGCCAGAACACAGGTGTTGTGAAAAACTACTGCTAAATCTAAGCCAAAATGGGAAAGGAAAAGAATCCTATCAACACTGTCACTGGACACAGAGATCCCAGCAAATCTACCACTGCTGGTCATCTGATCTACAAATGTGATGGGACTGACAAAAGAACCATCAAAAAATTTGAGAAGGAGGCTGCTGAGATGCAAACAAAGAGCTCATTCAACTGTGCCTGGGTCTTGGATAAACTGAAAGCTGTACCTGAGTGTGGAATCACCATTGATATCTCCCTGTGGAAATTTGAGACCAGCAAGTATTATATGACTGTCCCTGATGCCCCAGGACACAGAGACTTTATAAAAAACATGATCACAGGTAAATCTCAGGCTGACGGTGCTGTCCTGATTGTTGCTGCTGGTGTTGGTGAATTTGAAGCAGGTATCTCTAAGAATGGGCAGACCCGTGAGCATGCCCTTCTGGCTTACACACTGGGCGTGAAACAACTAATTGTTGTTAACAAAACGGATTCCACTGAGTTGCCTTACAGCCAGAAGAGATATGAGGAAATCATTAAGGAAGTCAGCACTTACATTAAGAAAATTGGCTACAACCCTGACACAGTAGTGCCAATTTCTGGTTGGAAGGGTGACAACATGCTGGAGCCAAGTGCTAACATGCCTTGGTTCAAGGATGGAAAGTAACCCGTAAAGATGGCAGTGCCAGTGGAACCACGCTACTTGAAGCTCTGGATTGCATCCTGCCACCAACTCGTCCAACTGACAAACCCTTGCATTTACCCCTCCAGGGTGTCCACAGAATTGGTGGTATTGGTACTGTCCCTGTGGGCCAAGTGGAGACTGGTGTTGTCAAACCCGGCATGGTGGTCACCTTTGCTCCAGTCAACGTTACAACTGAAGTAAAGTCTGTTGAAGTGCAGCATGAAGCTTTGAGTGAAGCTCTTCTTGGGGACAGTGTGGACTTCACTGTCAAGAATGTGTCTGTCAAAGATGTTCATTGTGGCAATGTGGCTGGTGACAGCAAAAATGACCCATCAATGGAAGCAGCTGCCTTCATGGCTCAGGTGACTATTTTGAACCATCTAGGCCAAATCAGTGCTGGATACGCACCTGTGCTGGATTGTCACACGACTCACCATGCTTGCAAATTTGCTGAGCTGAAGGAGATTGTTGTTCTGGGTAAAAGCTCAAGGATGGTCCAAAGTTTTTGAATCTGGTAATGCTGCCATCATTGATAAGCCCATATATGTTGAGAGCTTCTCGAATTCTCCTCCTCTGGATTCTTTTGCTGTTCGTGACATGAGACATACAGTTGCTGTGGGTGTCATCAAAGCAGTGGACAAGAAGGCACCTGGAGTTGGCAAGGTCACCAAGTCTGCCCAGAAAGCTCAGAAGGCTAAATGAACATTATCCACAATACCTGCCACACCAGTTTAATCATTGATGGAAGAATGGTCTCAGAACTACTTGTCTCAATTGGCCATTTAAGTTTAATAGTAGAAAGCTGGTTAATGATTGCAATCTATCATAAAACCTCCAGAAGGAAAGGAGAATGTTTTGTGAACCATTTGGATTTTTATTTTCATGTGGCAGTTTTGAAGTTATTAGTTTTTAAAATCAGTATGTTTTAATGGAAACAACTTAACCAAAAAATCTGTCATAGGATTCTGATACCCATTAAAACAAAGTTTAATGAGAAACCTGTGTGTTCCTTTGCTTAACGATGTAACTTCCTGTAGTACTACTTAGGTAAAAGAAAAAAAAATGGTGTTACATCTGCTGAAACTTTAGAATTTGATGATTCTGGGTAAATGTTCTTTTCTGGGTGGGAACTTGGGTTTTTTTCGCTTTGACTTAAGGGGAAGAATCATCTATTTACCTAGTGGAAAGCTATGGGAGGGGTATGTGCATCACTTCATAGGTCAAAACAGATAAGCAAAGAAACTTTGTTTATGTGTAAGCTAGTTTACAAAGGCCAAATTCTGTAATGTTAAAGTCCACATGTTGCATATAAAAATTTGTGTAGTTATATCGAGTACATTTGTTGGCATGTCAAATTTTAGTTTTCCAGTTATTGGAATGTGGATTCTCACATTTACAAATTCTGAGGTACTTTAAAGAACCTAAAATGAGACTTCAATAGTATTGAGCACTGTCCTGCTACAGTTCATTATATTCAGTTTCTAGGAAAAATAAATGATACTGGAAATTGAAAAAAAATATTACTAATGTAATTTTATAAAAGGCTTTTTGTAATTATAGCCATTGAAATCACTGCCAATGCAAATGAGAAATTGATAAGGTAAATGCATTATCATATGGCTTTCCAGTCCCTGTCCATTGGTCCCAGGATTATGTGAATATTTTGTTCAAGAAGGAGGCAGAATCATGTCATTCTTTTGTTTTCCTTCTGTTGAAGCAGGCCTCTATTCTCTGCCCCATCTCCACTCTCCCTAACCTATTACTCTTCCAGTTCCTTAAGCGCCCTTGGTCTGATGCCCTACCTGCATTTATTCTGCCTGTGCTTGGTGCCCCTGGCTCTCCTCAGCTAGACCCATCGTGCT